CACAAATTGAAGTTTTACATTATTAGTGTAGAGTACTGTGATATTTTTCATAAAGGTCTGAAATAACAGTATTATTTGCAGACTTAGTATGAAACAACATGAAGATTGTGAGAAATTATATTTTCTTTCAATTGTGTTGCTTCATTTTTCTTCATTTTTCTGTGAAGCAATTTGCATTTACTTGAATGTATAGGGAATATGGAAGGAGCGGGGAGGTGGGGGGGGCAGATATTCCAGAGGTTGCTGCAAGCCTCTGGCACGGATGCAGTTCAGACACTGAAGCCCCTGGAGGAAAAGTGCAATTCAGAGCAGCTCATTTAGGCCTCTAAAGGTTTGAGTGTTTTTGTGATACCCTGATAGACTACACTTACACAGCCAGATACAAATTTAACCGTAACAACACCAAAAGAGTGGAGGGAAGGTGGCTGTTCCCTGGTACCAGCTAGAAGGAGATACTTCCAAGCCTCACCTCTGTGTCAAAACATGGGAAGATGCAGTTTTCACAGCCTGTGCATGCAAATGCACCCATCCTAAGGCTGTCATGTATCCTTACAAACAAATAGTTTATTAAGATTCCAGCAAACATATATAGTCTGTTTATAGTCCTTAGTCTTTTTATTATTATTATTATTATTATTATTATTATTATTATTGACCACTGTTAATGGAAAACATGCAGTGTATCTGGAGGAAGGTGTGTTTAGGTGAAGAACTGTTCCCCAGGAACCTGGTGTGTTTATGTGACATAACCCAGCATTCGAGCATCAGTCTCTCAGTAGAGAACAGCTACCTTTACTCAGCATTCCTCCTGCTTCCAGCATTGGGGCATGATATCACAGTCCTTTAGAAAAACAGTGTCAGTTATTTTTGTCCTCTCCAGAAAAATGAAAAGAAGTTGTGTTTCAATACCTCAGTTACACGGCCAGTGAAACTGGGCTGTAGGTTGAGGCTAGTCTGGAGTTATCAGAAAGCACAGAAATGACTCCTTTAAGAGTTTTCTACCACATGAAAGTTTTTACCAGAATATTTTTCAAATGGCTACACAGAGTCAGGTACTAATACCAGAACCTCAGCTAACTTCTGTTGGGGTGCTAAGAGGAACACAGCTCCAGTGCAGTGCCTGGGATTGCCCTGCTCTAAATGATAGACCTGCTCTGCACAGTATGTATGATTTGCTGGTTCTCCTTGTGTAATCAATTCCCTTCTTCATTCCAGTGCTGCTCTTTTTATTCCCTATCCTGTTGCTACTTCTATTTCTCTTCGTTCACTTGTCAATTCTACTGTATTAGAACATCAAAGACACTAACTCATTTAATTGCCTTTCTAAATGCACATATTCGCCAAGTAGATGCCACAGGTACCCTCAGAATCTCTGTTCAGCTGCTCCTTAACTTTGCTTTAACAGCACAAATGCCTAAGTTTTGGCTAAAACATGGAGTTCTTGCTCACACCAGCCACGTGAAGCAGTATTCCTGAGTTAAACACAGCCAAGTTTCAGAGTTGTGCTCTGAGCCTGGCCAACTCATGCAGCTTGTACGAAGGACTTCTACCACAATCCCTACAATAGTTGTCTGGTGTGCAGTGGGCACAGTTACAGAAGACCGGTCAGCACCATGCTGCCTGTTGTTCCCTGAGCAGTTCTCAGGGAAAAAGTATGCGGCAGTGGGGTGCTGGCATAGCCTCTGCAGCTTCCTTTTTGGCATAGTCTACTTTTTAAGTTCTAAAACTAAATGTTTTAGCACATTTAGATCCTTGCATGATGTTCAGCTGACGTGTTCCTTTCTTGGTACAGCTGTTAGCTTCAGGCTCTCCTAAACACTAGATGTCAACTATAACAAGTTAGACTCAGTTTTCACTGTGCAGTGCAATGTATATTCACTCAGACTTCTCTTTCCTCCACACTTCCTTATTCCTTTTATTCCTAGCACTATGCATGTGTCATCTTTTAAGATTAACCTTAAAACTTCTCCATAAACCACAATCAAACAAGAAGAGAAATTCCTGAAAGCAAAATGATAGAAGGCTTATTTCGTTGTTTATTAAGTTTTATGGATGCTCACTGCCATCATCCCAAATGGAGGACACTCTTTTGTCTGTGTGGTTCCTCTTCTATGTATGTCTATTCTTCCCTCAACTAATGGTAGACTTCTAGCAAAATATTAGCAATGCCATCGATAGCACCAAGGTACACCATGATAAATGTATGTCTTCCACTGTTTAATATTTGTTTTAAAAAAATGCAAAGGCTTGCAAATAGTGTTTGCATAGGCCTCCATTGTATTTAAAAACTCATGATACAGTCATCCACAGTGATTCTAGTATCCAGATCACATCAGTGTTCTTTCTTATTGTGTTTTGCTCTAGTAGCCAGGAGGATGATCCCTAATACAGGATTATTTACATAATGTCTGTTGCAATGACAGATAAGGTACAAGAAAAAAAAATCTGTCTTTTCCTTTTAAAGTACTGCCTTTTGTTATTTACCTATAGTGCAGTAGAGAGAGAACAGCACAAACTGTACCAGAGAAGCAGAAAAGTACACAGAATAATTCCAAAACAAATTTAGTTGATTAAATGCAGTACATTAAAATGAGACATTTTAATGTTGACATTTTAGTATTATTAATGAAGGGCCCAGCTATTGGCCTTTGCTTGGGCAACTGTCTGTTGAATCCACTGGACTTAAATTCAGAAAAAGTGTAGCCTAATGAATTTCAAGTAATAATTGCTACACAAGGTAATTGCAAAATTTGCATAGCAAAGCTCCTCTGAGAGAAATTTATGAGATTTCTACATCAATCTGAATGTGCAAAGGCTTGCAATTCAGCATTATATGAGTTATTAACCTCACTTGAATAAAGAAGGAAAATAATATTATATTTTGTTTAACCTCTGCAGCTTCAGAATTCAAAAATTATAGGGCTCTATGAATAGATCAGAACAGTAAAAACTTAGAAATTTTCCCTGGTTATCTCATTATGTGGAGCAACGTAGCTCACTCTCTGAGGGGAGCTATTAGTTAGAATGATCACATAGAAAAAATAAATTCACATAATAAAAATACTGGATCATTTCATTAAAATTATTATTTAATTCTAGTTACTGAACACGTGTTCCTTTCCCCTGACTCCTCGATGTGCACCCTGAATGAAGCTACTGTGGGATATGAATGGGCAGTCAGGCAAACTCCTCTTTCTCCTAATGCCTCTCTATTGGAGTAGCTTCTTGAAGCACTTGGGTGCTAGGGCTTGTCAGAGACTGAAACCTGACTATATGAACTATCACAATCCCTACATTCCTTCATTTCTCCTAAGCAGTGGACAGACATTGGCTTATTCCTGTTCACCAGCTCTTTGTCAGTATTCCTCTGTTGGAGGATGCCAACCATTTGCCGTCAGAGCCAGCACTGTAGTTCATGTGAGCTCTTCCTAATTGGCTCCAGGCAAAAATCAGCCAGGTTAGTTTACACAATACGAACTGTGGTCTGAGCTAACTGAGGTGGTTTTGCCTGAAAGAGGTTGGGAAGTGTTCATGTGCACTGCTCTGACATCTGTGCTCTGAGGCTACAGCATCTAGCATGGCGAGCCGCTTGAGTACCTTCTGCCAACACAACTGGATTCAGAAAAGGGGTCTGCAGCTTCACACTTTTATAATCAGTGAAGCAGGCTTCATCATCATCAGTTATTGATTTTCAGGGTTGAGTTACAGCTGGAAAAGTTTAAAAAGCTTCTCATTATGATGAGTGCTTTAAAAATAATGAATATTCAGATTTTTATTATTTACAAACAAGGTTATTTAAATTTTAAGGGTACTACTGTATTTGCATTAGCATTACTTTACGAAGAGATCTTTCTGATTCAAACCAAGGTGCTGATACTGTTGGTTCCTCTCCACATTAAATACTCCTTCTCATTAACTCAAAATCTTTACTGAATACATTTAAATGAGGAAAGAAATAAAAAATCCTACTTAAAAGGAAGTGAGAGTTCTCACTGACTTCTGTGGACCAAGATTTGAATGCAGAATTAAGCTGATGATCGCAAATTTGAAAAATTTTGTTGAAAGAAGGAATGTCCTGCAACTCTATCTTCTATAAAAGCTTTCCCAATCCTTTTTTTATAAATATTTATGGACAGCAAACTATGGAAAGAAATTAAAAAAAAATGTATTCAGAGCATTGCAACCAATATTTTAATCCTCAGTTTTGAAGGTGAAAAATCTCTTGTGCCACAGTTTAAGAACTGAATTCCACAAACCTTTGCCTATATACCAAATACATGCATCTAAGTACTAAAATTTCTCTTTGGCATTTGATCAAACCTGTTTTCCCTTGCCCCACTGTTCATTTGTGGACAGCTACTGGGGAAAAGACTTTGAACATTTTTGCAACAAGGGAAGATGAGACAGCAAAGCAGCTTGTGGTTCTGCAACATTGATTGTTGGTATTGCTGGTATAAACCACATATTTAAAAATACTAATATGAGCTGTACATAACCTCATGGATTTTCATCAAAGAGAATATAAAATCTTCTGTTCCATTTCTGTGGAAAATAAGAATAAAGCCAAGAGGCAAAGAATCCAGAGATGCATCCTTATCCTTAGTCCAGAGAAAAGGATTTCCACATTTGCATTTGGATGTGAGATTAATGCCAACCTGTGACTAATGGGAATCAATAATACACGAGTCAATACTGTGCTAAGGAAGTATGTTGGGTATTTTTTAATTTCTTCTTTTGAATGCCTTTGTATTTTTATTACCAGTTAATAATAAGAAAGACAATGCATCTACTTGAAATTTTACCAAGTCATCATAGTAGGATGCAGCTTAGTACAGTACCCTCAACAGTACTTCATCTTACACTGTATCTGTTTCCCTTCCTAGTAATTTCAAAGTCATGAAACTATTACCACACTGATTTTTATGAAATTCAGATCCCGAAGAGGGATTTTGCATAACTAAAAAGAAAAATTTAATCCCTACTTTTCTGCAAATACACAGGGCCTATTGGGAGAGAAGTACGGGAACATCCGAATACCAGGGGAGGTTGAGTCAGCAGAATTTGAAATGATCCTGGATGCCGCTGTAGAGGCCAAGCTAGAGACGAGGATTTTAGAAGAGTGGTACTGCAGGGATGAGAATGCAGTGCCACCAGCATATTACCTCAGACCAAAATCTGAAATGCTGAAGAACTACCAGAATACGGTAAGTCATAGTCGCCTCCTTACAAAATTCTTCTCTATCATTTACAGTGGTGGGCAGTCCCCAGGGCCAGGCACTTGCTGCTGTCTCTGAATTAGCTTCTACAGCCCTGTGCACACCTGAGCAACTGGTGCTGTGATGCTCCTTTCCTATACATGGTGAAGGGAGCAGCTGCGAAACACCAAGGAACATGACTGGTCATGACTCCTGCGCTGACGTGCTCTCTGATAACAGCTAAAGAAAGTGGATTGTGGTCATTCATGACCTGTTGGGGCTAGTGGGATGGTTGTACAGATTTCTCTTCCCTTCCCTGACGTTGGAATAGGGAGAGCTGAGGCTCTCCTGCCCTGGTATTGTGCTTTTGCTAGATTTCAATGAGCAGGATTTGCAGAGGAAATACACATTTTCCCTTCTATCCCCATACAAGAAAGCTCTTTAACAGTCAAACAAGTGCTTAGTGCTGTCCCAAGTCAGATCTCATACTTTTAATATACTAACTGTATTCTAACAGAAGATTTTTGAACACTGTTAATTATCATTTTTTAAATAGGCATTTGTCTTTGATGACAATAAAAACTGTATATTACCCAGGGCTCACTTTTACCCTTCTGCACATCCAATATACCCAAGGACAGATTTCAGTGTATCAAAAATGAAGTCCTTAACAGAGTATTCACTTCCTTTTGAGTGCATACTGTATTAAACAAGAAAATGAAATTAAACCATTATACTGCATTCACTTATCGTGTAGCAGAATGTTTTCTCTGTCCCATGAAAAAACATTGAAAACATGAAAAACATAGACATGGAAAGAGTTTGAATGAGTTGAAGACAGTATAATATGGCTAATTCTGAAGTATTGATCACAAGGAAGAAAGCAAGTTTTGTAACTTTGCATTGTTCTGCTAGTGCCTACAGTATCTCTTTGAATAAAGCTTGGCTTTTTTGTTGTTAGAACTTTGCACCTTTCCTCAACCTACTGATACACAGAAGTAAGTAAAACGATGTTCATAACTTAAAGCTAACATGGAGTTACATCTCAAACTTAAAATAATAAAATATACACAGCTCTGAAAGTGTCGAGAAAGAGTTGCTAGGGAGCTTACCCTGGAGGCTGTTCTTCCTATTACACCCTCCAGGAAAACTGGAGACCCCTTAAACACTTCACCTGCAGTAAGTAATGCAACAGTGACTACCAGCTGCCCTACAGAAACCGCCATCATGGCATCTGTGACATACCATCTGAAAGGATTAGTGAATTTATATTAGAGTCTCTCTTTGATGACAGGAAGATTACTGTTACTATGGCAATGAATGAACGAAAGTAATGTCAGATATAATCCCATATATTTCAAATATGGTAGCTAATATGAGGTGCTTAATTACAGGTACCAGGAACCTCATTTTCAGTTTTGAGATCCAAGTTTAAATTATTATTATTATTTCTCATTAAAGGAGCGATAATTTTAGCAGTATTACTGCAGCTGTATTATCATTATTTCAGGCTTGGTTCTCAAAACCCTCTTTCTATAAAGGTGTTATTAGTCTTATTCTTGAAAAATATTGCATTAGCTGCCTACAGTAGGAATTCAGAAAATACTCTAGCTAACATAATTCTAAAATGGAATACATTATGATTATCTGCGGTATAAAAAGTTGAACTCTTATTTATTTCTTTTTAGTGCATGTGTTTCTCTGTTACCACATTATTTATGACTTCGAGTATTAGACTTTTACTTTCTGAAGTTGTAGATGTGTGTATTACAGCTACTGTTTAACTATGGATATTTTTAAAAGATGGAATCTTCTTCAAACTCTATGAATGAGAACAAATGGCAAGATGTATCAGAAGAGATTAAGAAGATTTTTAAGACTGCTGTGAAATTGCTGTATGAAAAAGGAAAAATGAAACACAGCCAAGCAAAGAGATATCTTTCCTCTGGTAAAGTTCAGACTAACTATTTCTATATAGTAATTTATTATCTTTTCTATCAACCTTTCCACAAAAATGGAAATATATTTCTGTTGGCATTTCTCATGTAATTGAAGAGAAAAAAAATGTTAATTGGGCTTGTTTGAGACCAAAACCCATACAAAAGCATCCAGAGATTTTTCTGTGCTTTTTCTGTTTTTTACAGAAAACAGATGCAATCATTTAAGAGTCTGCATGTTGGGAGTGGGGGATGTTCTTGAACTGTTTATAGAGAAAAGATAACAGAGACTCTGTGTTCTCTTTTCATCCTCAGCTATTGAAGATGAACTTGATTTTGCCTTGGGTAAACAAACACCAGCTTTCCTAAAGAAGTGTGTTTGCTACATTCGGAAAATTGCCAACATTGAGCGTTTTGTTAAAATTCCAGAGATGGGAAAATACATGGATGTGGTACATACAGCTGGGAAGTTTCTACGAGATCCCGAAGCCCATGAGAAACTGATCAAGCTCAGGGATGAATTCATTCCTACCATCGTCGCATCATCCAATCTGAGAGTGTACACGTCCGTCACTCACTGTGACATGAAACTGGGCTACTCCCAAGAAGTGGAGAACCATTACATTGAAGGACTTGGTAAACAGTTCTATGAAGACATGATTGACATAATCCAAGCAACAGTGCAGCAGAATTTTGACACCGAGACAGACCTGCTGTATGATGAAGTTCTTCAACACTCATCGCTATGTAAAACGTACTCCACTTTTTATGAATACAGATGTGAGGCATTAAACATAGTTCACAAGTATGTTCTACCTAGCAAAATAGGACATATTAACCCTCTTATCATATACGGAGGACCATGCACCGGGAAGACTCTTTTATTAGCCGAAGTGGCGAAGAAGGTATATAAATATTTTACATAATACGGTGATGTTAGGACCGTTAGTGTGTAAGGGCCAACTTAGTTTTCATTCTTCCTTTTGTCAACAGATCTGATATCAGCCCTCAATATGTAGAATAAAAATAATAAAAAGTATATTCTGCATATTATTGTACACATAATCAGAAAAAGACTTACCTTTCAATAATAACGTGTCTGTATCATGTGCTTAGCCAAAACAAAAGTACCTAATAGGAATCAATATATTTTTGAATTAACACATGTATTTTAGAAGAATCTCTTTCCTTCTTGTTCCACTGAGGTCCTATGAATCTGGAAACATCTAAACATCGTATGCTGGTTTTAGTCTTATTCACAAATACAATATGTCTTTCCAACTCACGCCATCTTATGTTCTCATCAGAAATTATTCCAGAATTACTCTGATACACTTGCTGGAAATACACTTGCTACAAATCTATCTGTAGTAACCTGCAAAAATACCTGTACTCATTTATCTGACATACACCGTTTAAATCATTGAGCTGAGTACTACAGGGAAATGAGTAAAACACTTTGTGCAAGACAGGACCAGATGCAGAAAAAGACCAAGCTGGCATCTCTAAGCCTAATTCTCCAGCTGGGAGTCACAACTTTGATTTCCCTGCAGGGTGCTCAGAGAATTTAGCACAGTGGGCTGGGAAACAGCCATATCAGCCAGAATGAAATGGAGAAGGGAACAATAATGTTTAAAATCCCATATCTTTCCCAAATGTGGCTTCCTATAGATTAACATAAGTTGTGTATATGAAATTGGGATTTGCAACTCAAGATCTCATTTCAGATCTGAGTGTGTAACTTAACCTAGAGACTCTGGTTACGCTTTTCTTTTAAAATATTCTGTAATAACTTAAAGTGAGGTGAAAAGACTTAGCAAGTAAGAGAACTGAGTGTGTTAGCCTGCACAGACTGAGGGGATTTAAAGCCACATTCTTCACTTGCTTAGAGTATGCTAACCAAAAAAACAGCAAGAGATACTTTTTACCCTTTGTGGCAGTGTGTAAGAGCAAAAGTCACAGGCACACCAACACAGAGTGTACTTCTGTGGTCCAGGAATTAAAGTAACCTGCTAGTAAAGGGCAATCGGTACTCTGATCCCTGTCCTCTAAAACTGTCAGGGTGTGCATTTATACTCAGCTGAGAATCAGTGTTAAACAAGTTTAGGTGGCAAGCTGGTCTGCCTGGCCAAGGATGACATTGCTTAGTGTCTAGGGAAGTTTATTAATAAGAGAATCTACTTACTGACTTTCAGAAGTGAGACACAGATTTTGCAAAGTGTACCCTGGGATTTATGGACTACATTCTACTTACGTCCCCTTAGACATAAGCCTTTTTGTGGATCTGGGTCTTAGTGTTTTGGGATATTACCTGTGCTAAACAAAGATGACATATGATATGAATTTCATTCGGTGCACATAAATCAAACCAGCCTTGAACTCTGCCAGTGAAAGCATTTCCATTCAACCAGTAACATTTAAAAATGTTTATTTATATATAGGCAATCACTATTTATAAAATCTGTTATTCTGCTTCATTTAGATATTAACTGAATTATCTCTATATTCTAGTCCTATTCCTGGCTGCAAGAAGAGATGGGACCAGAGTCTGACCCTGTGGTAGTTATAAGATTTTTGGGATCCACGGAAACAAGTACAGATCTGAAGAATATACTTCAAAGCATTTGTGAACAATTAGCAGTCAACTATCGTTGCCTCGTACAAAGTTACCCAAAAAAGATTCATGACCTTCGGGACTTGTTCATCAATCTCTTGAATGAGTCTTCATTCCATAGGCCGCTGGTGATAATATTTGATGCCCTAGAACAGCTAACAGATAGTGATGATGGTAGGAAGCTCTGGTGGCTTCCCATTCACCTTCCACGTTCAGTACGGATAATTTTGTCAACACTGCCAAACAAGCACGGGATCCTGCAAAAACTGAGGTGCCTTATTCATGAAGAAGACAACTACATTGAATTGACTGCAAGGGATAGAAAGATGTGTAGCCAAGTACTGAAACATCAGCTGCTGCGAGTTAAAAGAAAAGTAACATCAGGGCAACAAATCTACGTCAATGAAGCATTCTCCAAGTGCACACTGCCTATGTTTGTGAACTTAACCTTCAGAGAGGTCAGGAACTGGAGATCTCACAAAGATGTGGATGAGTCCTCCCTCTGCGTCACTGTCCATGAAAGCATAGAGCAGTTGTTTTGGTCACTAGAAAACAAGTGTGGATCCAGACTATTGTCAAGAGCACTTGGCTACATCACTATGTCCAAATCTGGCCTGAGTGAAATGGAACTGGAAGATATTTTAGCCCTTGACAATAGTGTTATGTACGAACTGAGTGAGAGTGTCAGAGAAAGTAACCCACTGAGAATTCCATATATATACATTGCAAGGCTTAAGGAGGGCTTACAGGGGTACTTGATAGAGCGACAAGTGAAAAATGTGACACTTCTTCTTTGGGCAAATAGGCACTTGCAACTAATTGCCCAGAAATTGTACCTGCACAATGAAGAAGATGTACATGAAATGCACACAGTCATGGCAGAGTATTTCCTTGGTGTTTGGTCAGGCGGACGAAGAAAACCTTTTTACAGCAATGACCAATATCTGAATGGTTGTCCTGACCATGACAGTAGAGGCCTGAATGAGGATGAAAAGCATTGCATGGATCAGACTGCTTTTGACAGGCAGGCACCTGATCAGCCATGGGTCTTTCAGTGTAATCCATTAGAGCCTGATATCTTTTTTATCAATCACAGAAAAATGACAGAACTTATTCATCACTTGACAAGGTGTGGAAGAACAGATGATCTTCTGTACGGAGTCATTATGAACTTCAGCTGGCTGTACACCATGATTAGAATAGGGCAGTTTGATAAAGCACTTTCTGACATAGAACTGGCTTACACCTACTCGCACGAAAAGGAGCTGAAATTTCTGGCCAGTACCCTCCGCAGTATAAAGTTTAAAGTAGTAAAATACCCAGGTTCGCTCTCTGCTGAATTGCAGCAGAGGCTTCTCCCAGTAGTAAGTTCATTGCCCAAACTCAGACATCTCCTCTTAGAATGTGACAAGGATGGACCCAAGTATTGCTCTATCGTCCCTTTGCATTCCTCCATGGATGTGACTTACAGCCCCGAGCGCCTGCCGCTGTCATCCAGCTGCATGCACGTCACTGAGATTTTGTCTACTTTTAATCCCAGCACAATTATTGCTGCTTTAGAAAATGGCTCCATCAGCACTTGGGATGTAGAGACCCGCCAGTTACTAAGGCAGATTACAACAGCTCCATCTGTTATCTTAGGGATGAAGCTTACTAGTGATGAAAAGTATCTTGTAGTGGCTACAACGAAAAACACTCTCTTGATATACGATAACATAAATTCCTGTCTTCTGTCTGAGGTGGAAATTAAGGGGTCAAAACATTGTGGAATTGCAGGGGGCTCCAGTTTTATAAACGGATTTACGTTATCAGTCAACCATGCGCTTGCTTGGCTGGAGGCCAGCAAAGACGTTACTGTAATAGATCTGCTTTATGGCTGGCCTCTCTATCACTTCCACTGCTGGTATGAAGTGACCTGTGTGCAGTGTTCTCCAGATGGAGTTTATGCGTTCTGTGGACAGTACTTGAACACCACAACCATTTTTCACTTGGGCAGTGGAGAGAAGCTGGCCACCGTGACCTCTGAATTTTCTGGTGGATTTGTGAAATTCCTTCTCATTCTGGACACAGCCCAAGAAATGGTGATGGTGGACAATGAGGGTAGCCTCTCTGTTTGGAATACAGAGGAAATCACAAATCCCCAGCTTACGGATGACTTTGACTGTAGGAGAGAAGACAGTGAAGTTGTCAGCATAGAGCTTTCTGAAGACCAAAGTGCAATTTTAATTTGTAAGGCTCTCAGCATTGAACTTCTTGACACTCATGTGTGGAAGGTGGCTGAAAAGTTTAGAGCTAAACACAATGAGCGCTTTATCTCTGCCGTGTTGTCCAAAAATGGCAACTGTATAATTGCTTCAATGGAAAATACCTCAGCCATTTTTGTTTGGAGAAGAGATACGGGACAGTGTATGGCAAGCTTACAGGAAATCTCAGGAACTATAGTCAGGCTAATTAAATCAAATCATCATAACATGCTGCTATCCTTATCCACCAGTGGTGTCCTTTCTATTTGGGATATAGACATCATAACTGCTATGTCCAATATTGACAAATCTGGCAAGCCTATCCAAAGACTGGTGTTGCCAGCCAGAGGTGAATTAATATACACATTGGATGGATCAGATTCTGTCCATAAGTGGAACTTCAGCACTGGCTTTATTGAAGCTGTGTTCAAGCATGAAGGTATTGTTGAAAACTGCGTGCTGACCTCTTCTGGAGAGATAATGGTTACATCAGATGATAAATGCAGCCAGTATGTATGGCACACGGTTAGTGGTGAAAATATCTTTCGCATTAATGGACAAAAAATCTCAGAGCTAATGATTACTCACAATGATCAATTTGTAGTCTCTCTCTGTGAGCAAAATGCATCCAGAGTTTGGCGACTGGCTACAGGACATAGGGTTTGCAATATTTTAGTTGCCTTACAGAATGCATTTATAACAACTGCAAATACATTCGTAGTTGGAATGGCGAAGAATAAAGTGTTGGCAGTGAGTCTCTGGACAGGCAGTATAACCAAGAAGTTTTGCTGTGATGATGGTGCAAGCATTGTCGATATTAAGCTGATACCAGACTGCCCAGATATTATAGTATTTATAACATCTACTGAAACTGTGAACATCTGGAGCCTAACAGAGGAAGTCATCTGCAGACGCGTACAATTGCCTACCAATTTCTTAAAAATTTTGGAAGACTTCGAAATATCTCCAAATGGGAAGCTAGGAATTATAACCCGTGGTGATGAGAACATCAATGTGCTTGATTTATACAGCGGAAAACTTCGTGTGGTTCATGCTCCGGGTATCATCTGGCGGCAGAGGCTATCTCGTGATGGCCGCTACCTTGTGTACATCTGTTTTCGCAGTGAAGAAGATGATGATAATGGTGCAGTCTCTAGCTTAATTGTAATGAGGCTAGCGGATGGCAAAAACATCGGTGCCTGTTCTCTTTATAAAACTCCCACTTTTCTTGCACTCTCACAGAGACATTTAAATATTATTATTGGATTTGATGACGGAAGTATAGGTACTTACACTGTAGTGGATCGAGTCGATGCTGCACTGAAAATCAAAATTGCTACTTCAAACAGCCGTCAGATTTTCAACAACACAACACAAGTGATTAGGCCAAAATGTCACAATTATAGCTTCAAAGTGACTGCAGACTGCATTTGGAGGGAATCAACAGAAGTATTTGCAAGGGATAGTCCCATTACAGTTACAGAGCCTGAGGTGAGTGAAGCAACACCAACCAAAAAACACAACTATTGCTATGAGAAAGTGTGCTCAGCCATAGATTGCAGAGGACACAGTTTTGCTCCAGACAACTGAGTAACCATCTGGGTGAGCTTATCTGAATAATAGTATACATGCATAGATTTGTCTTCTGAATTCACCTAAAAAACAGTGCATTTCTTGGAAGACAGACAGAAACAGCAGAGGGCAGACCAACTGTTTTTTCCTCGACAAATATTCTTACATTTATGTAAACATAAAAGCAAACATAAAGCAAATGGGCTGCAGGGTTTTTTAAATTTCGGAATACAAGGTTCAGTCCAGGATTTCACCAGGGCCTTGATTAAAAATTTCTAGCAATACTATCAAAATTGTTATGCTATTACAGAAGTTAGGCGATCTTATCTGGGATTGACAAACTGTTTTAAGCAGAACTAAAGCTCCACAGGATCAGTGAGAAGAGTCAGACCACTATTTTATATACCAAGCCGCCTAGATGGGTCTATAGCTAACAGCCAACTTTATACCCACTTGCAAAAATGTGTTTTTCTGCTTGATGGTGCAATGACAAGATGTCACCTGCCAACCTGGAACACTTGATACATTCCATCATCATTTAAAAAATACCTACTTCTTTTTTTTTTAAATTGGGATTAATCTTTGGGTTGAAAGTAGTAGGTGCCAGTCAGCTGCAAACATGTCAGTGTGTGAGGTGATAAGTATTTGTTCACCTCAATGAATGGACTGAAAGATTTTTCTTTTTAAATGCATGCAGGGATTTCAGGTTTCTCTATTGTGATAAAAATGATAAAAACCTAGGTCATAAAAGGAATATAGGGTTTGGGGTTTTATTTCTGGTTTGGGAAATTTTTTCGTCTTCACAGTGTGTATCAGTGCAGGTCGTAATGAAAACTTTTTCAAACAGAAAGGGTGTTACAGATGACCAGTTAGACACATTAATTTCTTTATGTTAAAAGGTTGCTATCCATTTTGTTGTAAGAAAGTCTAACGTATCTCCTCTGTCCCCAAAGTAATCTTAATAGAAATCTTTCAGACATGCCATGTATTAATCTTGATAATATTTGCCTTACTATCATTTCTGTTCTTTTCCATGATAAATACAGATCAGATGACCAAACACTCTGGGATTGCTTGTGTATGTGCTGAAGTATTCCACTAAATGTAAAGGCTGTCCAAAGGTCCTTTACTGGTCCAGTTTGTTATGGGTTTTTCTTACTTCCACATACTTACAAGCTTCACTTTCTGCTTTAGAACTGTTCTGAGCCTTTTGTACAGTTTTACCAGTTTCAAGGCAGAAATTGTGAAATAATGACAAATGCTTTAAAAAAAATTACATTTTGCCCAAGTAAAAAAAAATACTGGACAATATCTGAAAGGATCATAATTTTCCCTCCTAACATATATTAAAGATGGCACACCTGTGGAAATATTTTCAAATTATTTAAACAAAACAATTTTATTTTTAAAATCAGAACACCATGCCACAAATTTCCAAGAAATGAATGCTAAGCTAGAACTTAACGTAGTGTGTGAATGTTCAGTGTACAAGCCAATGTAGTATATTAAGTGACTTGAATGATTTTTCCTAACTTGTTTGCAACTAATAGATCATATTGAATGTTTTTATGTAAACTTTGTATTGTTGGGAAAACCTACCCAATCAGAGATTTATATTTTCATAAATGTCAAATTTAGTTAAATTTTGTTACAGAGTTGTTAAATTAGAAATCTATTGCAGTCTTCAAACAATATACAGTCTTGTGTATGCATTGTTTGTACTAATAAACTATGGAAAAACAGATTGTGTCTGCTAATTTCAGGGAAATTTCACTCTGGCAGAGGGACACAAGGCGTTTGCAGCTCCCATTAGTCTGTATTTATATCATTTTTATGGGCTATATTTGTAAGGAAAAATTGTAATATTTTTCCCACTTTGGTTAACTAAATCAAGCATTCAAAAAACAATGAGATTCACCAAAAAAAAGCATGCTTAGATGCTGCTTATGACTAGATTGCATACTGCCAGTGTGCCAAGTCAACAAACACAAAGGCTTGTGTAACCTACCCAGGAGAAAGCACAGAAAAGAGAGGAGCACCTGAAATCCCACTCCCCTTCAGACTTGAGGAGCTATGGGAAGGGGCTGTGGGATCCACGCCTCCCAGGATCCTGTCATGAAGGTAAGCAACTTCCACCTTCTTTCAAACAGTGGGCATGACTCAACGCATTTCAGCCTTGAACTCCTTGTGCATAACGTGCATAATGTTGGAAAGTTAGTTCCTTCATTATCTTGGAAGAGTAAAAATACATCTCCTATCTGCCGGGAGAGTGGCTAACTTTGTAGTAAAGGAGTATAACACAGAAACAAAGCAAAACACAGAAACAGAGAAATGTTCTTCCTTTTTGGGAAGCACTACCAGAACCCAGCTGGTTCCAGCTCAGCTGAGTGGCTTATCAATAGAGTACCCAGCCTTGTTCCTTTTGTTTTCTGGCTCAATGAACTTTGTGGTCTTCTGCACAGTGGCACGGCTTCCTGGGGCAGGAGATAGTCCCCAGCAACACAGAGGATCAGCCTAAAAGTGAGAGTAGTCTTCCCTTCATCTTGAGCCAAAGAGGGAGTTGATTTTAGGCCTTGTCCAGTTGGTCAAAGCAATAGGGTGACATGTGAAAGCAGCGATGCTGTATATAAAAAGGCAAGGGTGTTCTTGTCCTGCTTTGAACTTTAGTCTTTTATGTTCTAACCAAGGACAGTCAGAGTGGGGCAGCACTACTGTTTTTCTTAATCGTAAAACAATGAGAAAGACGAACATGAACATGACTCCTAATCCACTTAGGCCTTTCAGCCAAGTATTGGGTTCCTAATCTCATTCAAGGATGCTGGTTTAAGTCCTGTCCCTCCTCATAATTTATCTATGCCTTAATACATAAACTATCTCATTCAGCTTTCCAGCTTTCTGAATCTATTTCTCAGGGGGTCAGGCTCCTCACACTGAGCCTAAGCAGCAGACACAGGTTTCTGAATGGCATTAGGCTACTAGGTGTCCAAATACTTGGAACTGCAAGAGTGAGGACTCCCCAGCCCCTCACAAATCTGTCCCTAAGTACATCTATGCAGTGGTACAGGGACAAAGTAGTTTCTCTAATAATGAGCCATCCAAATGCCAAGTGCTGTTCTATCCCTACATAGGAATAGAGCACTTTTTACTTTCTTTTAAGGAGCACTATTTGCATATCTAGAACAAAGCTTTCATTTATTCTTTATCTAAAGTGCATCAATAAACAGGCTCAGATGGGGTCCATATTTTCTGACACAGAAGATTCTAGGAATAGCCTGTAGCTGTAAGAAAGCTTTAGAGGGGAATTAGCCGGAAATTCTTTGGCACACAGAGGTAAGCCGGAGGTCAGATAGAAAAAATATTTTTATCAGTCATTTCCTTTGCACCATAGCTGGGGAATGCACAGCCTGTGACTTCATTTCATACGGCCTGTGGCCATTTGACTTTTTCACATTATTATCAGATAACATCAAAATGTGAGTTAACATGTAGCCTGGAAAAGGCATTCAGAAAGCATTCAGGTTTCAGTGGTCCCCCAGCTGTGATTTCTCCATGCTGCATGCTCAAGCCCTGTACATAAACCTGTGGAAACAGAATTTTTAGCCATCTAGCAAAGGGAATTTAAAGCAAAAATCCATTGCTAAAATGGCATTCATATGCAGGGGGGAACTATTTCAGCCCCAGATCAGCTTAAAATCCTGAGATTTTGCCCTTTGTCAAAAACTTCTTAAGTGTGTCTGTATGATACATCATAAAATGGGTCCTTTGGGTCATTACCATTAGGCTATTAGCAACAGTCTGCATTGTTTTATTTTGTTGATTAAGGATTAAAAAATACCTGTTTTAACATACATATTAAGACTGCAAATTCTGAAATCTATTTTTATTTCTTCTAATTATAAAACCAAAGGCATCTTACTTTTTCACACATTATTTTTCATGTAACCATAAAATTATTATGGAATCATCCAAGTGTGGACTAGGGTCTTTGGATAGTTTTAGTTATCAAGGCTTTATTATTAAGAATCATTATCAAGCATTTATGCTACAAATAGGACCTACTTCAAAGTTCTTGTATGCTGTTAAGGATGTTACTCAGTATCTCTTCCTGGAACACCACATCACTGCAGGGAGAGTAATGAGCTGCATTTTTTCCCGTAGTTTACCTTTCCAGCCTGGTCACTGAACACCATTCCTTGCATATTGGAGGTAGTCTCCTGACTTACATGATGTGAAGTGATGCTCTCAGTGTGGGTCTAAATCATAGTCTCAGTTCTCAACAGGGAGGTCAAAGGCTGAAGGAATAGTCATCACGAGCCTTCCCTGGGAGGGGTGAGGCATTTTATCATGTGCTTCACCAGAAGGGGCAGTTTACACCACCACCCGTCTGTGAAAAAGTGTTTCACTATCGAGGACCAGCTACACAGTACTAAATTCACTTGAAAACACAGGCCAAATAACCAGAAGAGTGTGAGGGAACATTCTCCTAAGATGTCCAGTCCAGCAGAACATGCTCTTAAAATCACAAGTGGTTCCCAAAGTGACTGTCAAAATCTGCCCCTAGCAAGCTCTTCTCCTTGCCTCCACTGCTCCATCATCCTAGGCCCATGCTGCTCCTGCTTACCAGGGTAGGTGATGCTCCCATCCAAACTCAGCAAAGCCCCTGACATGTTCCCAGCCATGGTACACTCTCCATGTGCAGCGCCTACCCTTTTGACAGCACACCAGTCACCTCTCCAGCCTCTAGCAGGGAATATACAAAAGCAGATTTAAGGCATGTTCACATGTTCCTGCTGTCACAGCTTTCACCACACAATGCTGCCACACCAGCACAGGCCTTACTTTTACATAGCATATAACAGAGATAAATAAAATCATCTTCCCACTTATATGCCACAGCTCTGACTCCACATGCATTTCAGTGCATGTGAGAAAGCCTCTAGACTAAAATAGATCTATTTAAAGTGAAATACACACACTTGCAAGGTGAGACATGAAGCAAAAATCTGGACATGCTGTAGCACAGTTGAAAACAGAACATCCAAAAAGCAACAGGATAGTTTGCTGCCATTTGTCTCCATTACTCCATTGCCTGTTAGTAAATTTCCCAGCACTTCCCACTGTAATATCATGTTGACAGTAGTATCTGAAGTTACAAAGTTAACCTTTTGGGCTGTAATTTTTCAGGGCAGACTTCTATCTCAGCAGGAACGTTCTCCAAAAAGCCTCAACCAAAAGAGTCAGCTAAGATACAAGAATGAGATTAGAGAAAGAGGATTTCTGCAGCCTGAATGCCTCAACTACTTTTCCTTTGGAAAAATGTTGTCACACCCACGTTTTTGAACAAGGACTATGGATTGGTGAGACAAGTGATCATTTCCTGCTGGACACATCTGTGAAAACCTGATCAAATGATCAGCCTGAAAAGATCCCAGCAGTTTGCACATATTCATAGAAAACGTTAGGTTTCAGGAACAGTGCTATAGGAGCGCAGCTTGGGACTGCAGGAGCTGGGGCAGAACTTCTCTACTACTGCAGAAATACTGGGTGTGGGTTCGAGAAACTGCAAGAGTGAATAGTCTGTGGATCACCAAATATACAGTAGCCCTGAAAAGGGTCTGATGAGGAGGCCCGGTATCAGGAGAAACGGGGAGGCAGC